CCAGGTTTAGGGAGAGAATCCTGCACAGATTCCAGGTTTAAGGAGAGAATCCTGCCCAGCCCCTCACTCTGTTGCCATCCCAGCTCAGGATGGCAACCCTTGTTTGCTTGGCAGAGCCATTCCCACATGGAGCAGAGATGTGTGGGAATAAGAATTTTGTCAGTAAGAATCCCCAGACCATCTGGAATTTGTGGCTTTTGCTAGGACCTGAGGAGACAAACTCATTCCCAGCTCTGGACATTTTTTCTGCTGATAAATCCATTGGCAAGAGAAGCTCTCACAATTTCCCCAAACCCAATTAAGTGAACACAGCTCAATCCTTTAGAGCACTGACAAGCAACTTACTTTAAAAAAAACCCAAAACCAAAGGAATTCTGGTTTGATTTCACAGCATTTTCCTTCTGCAAGAGCTTTGGGAAGGGCTCAGCACCCTGACTTCTCTTTTAGCACTAAACTAAAGCACCTCAGAAATGTGAATGTGAATATTTCCCTGGACATATTAAGAGCCTGAAGTCACCTTTTCCTAGGTCAGGAAATTCAGTGGCACCCACCAGAGGCTGACTGAGCCCAGCCTCACATCCAGGGAACTAAAACAGCCTTACCTCAGAAAAAAGGGGGTGTGAAAAGCTAAAAACTCTTGGTTTTGTTTAAAAACACTCTGAATTTTTCTTTCAGGTATTTCAGCCTGTTTGATTTGCCAGGTTGAACTGAATCCCAGAAGCACTGGAAAAACAGGAGCCAGCCCAGAGTCAGGCAGAGCTTAACAAAGCCCAGCTCAGGACCAAGCCTTACCCTGCAGTTTGTTCCACCAGCTCAGCAGTTTGGGTGTTGTCTCTAAATGTCTCTGAATGTTTTTCTTTTGTCAAATTGCAAATGAAAATCGGTTATTTAGATACTTACAAGGCCTCATACAAAATGCACAGAGTAAACATTTGGGCAAATATTCCCAGTTTGATGTATTGGGGGTTTGTTGTATAAATTATTAAATATGAATGAGATTTTTTTTTTTTTGCTTCTGAGAGGAAACCCTTTGATAATAAAGTATCTTTAATTTCTGTTTACTACTGTTTGTGTTTACCCTGTAAAACAGAGAGTTTTTTAACAAACATCTCTGGTAAGGACCCAGTCAGTACCACAAGGATTTTTCTTCCATTAAGTTGTAGCCAGCCACAAATAAATTTGTGATACTCTCTGCACTTTATTCTGAGCACTAAAAACCAAGGAATATCCCAGAGATGTTATTTCCCTCATGGAACCAATGTCACAGAAAGATTTACAAGAGTTAATGGCCACTCTTGCTGGATTTTAAAATTCCTGCTTCAAAAAAACCCAAACCCCAAGAATGCAGGAAACACAACAATTTATGCACCAAGAAAAATCATCCTCCCGACTGAAGAACAGCTCAGAGCAGCTCTGAGAGTGCAATTTTAGCTCCTGCTCCTGCAGAGTATTTGCAGCAGGAATCTGTAAAAGCTGAGAGCAGAACTGAGGCTGCAGAAGGCTCCAGAAGCAGGGCATTAGGAAATGAAATTGAGCATAAAGCAAAGGCCATTGCTGAAGGCACAGCTCGGGTTATAATCCATCTTCCAAAGCACTTGGCACCAGTGGCTGCAGCAGCTCCAAAAATGGCAAACACTGCACCGATTTTCAGACCTTTTGAGTTATATACAACAGAGCAAGGAGAAGGAGACCTCAAGTAGCTGAAGTGTTTAGAAAATGTCAGGTTTGTGAGATACATCTCCTTCAAGTGCTAAAAGGCAGCTGAATTCCCCTCCAAGCAGGGATTTCAAACGGGTAATACATTCATTTTCCTTTCCTGGACAGATCAGGCTTCAGAGAGTTGATTTTCAGATTTAGTACTCTGCTTATCTCAAATCTAAACACTCCTGCTGAACAGAAATCCTAACACAGACAAGAGTGGGGTAGAGATCCACAGTGAAACATGATGTAGGTTCTGAAACGACAGAAATTATAAATAAAAACACGGGAGAACACCCCACACAAAACCTTTCTGCTGTCAGCCCAAGGAGAGGCCTGAGCTTTACCCCTAAGAAACTGCAAAGAGAGGAAAAAATGTCACTGCAAAGACACTTCCTCATGTCTATTTGGGGACTAATCCTGCTGAACCAAAGATTGTCACAGCAGGACAGATGTCACCCAGAGGAGCTGGGGACACCCCCAGAGCTGCACTGAGCTCCTGACCCAGCTCCTGTACCCAGAGATTGTCCCAGCAGGACAGATGTCACCCAGCCCGTGGCCATCTGCAGCCAGCACAAGCAGGTAATGCTCTCCTCAAACCTCAGGAAAGATTTGGAGAAGTCACTCGTGCATTATTGAATGCAACAGAGGTAAAAACACCTCCTAAAATGACCAGTCTGAGAAAAGAAGATGGCAAATTGCTGTCTGTAAGCCATGGAGATGCTGTCAGCAGCAGCCTGTGACAAGCAGAGATCACAGGAAGAACACCACAGCCTGTGAAGGGTATAAATGGATTACACAGACACTCTGTAAGCAAAGTTCTCCTCCAGATTAGAGGCACAAGAATTCCAGAATTCCTGGATTTTGTGCAGCATCATATCCTCACTTGGTGGAACTTCTCCAGAATTTCTCTCCCCATCTCTGATAGTACAAGCAGCAATGATTTCCTCCAGTACATTGAATTAAAAGTCATAAATGTGAATACAGAAGGTCACTGGATATCAGCTAAGGCTGAAAAATCCCATTCCCAGGAAACTGCAACACTGTCATTTCTGTCCAAACCCCAACTCGGGGCACCCCACTTGCTGTGCTGGGCACTGTTCAGGCAGGAGCCAACACCACACTGAGGTGAAGACAGCATGACCCACTTCCAGTTCAGCACTCAGGGATTCACCTCAGTGCCAGGGATTCCTTCTTCTCCCCAGCCCGTGGAAAAACCCAGCATGACAAACACTGGGAACACAAGCAATGTCACCAGCACAGATGTGGTTTGCTCCCTGGGAAAGAGGGAATTTGGATAAAAGCCTTCCCAAAACGGCTCAGGAGCTGTGCTGGAGTCCCAGGTGAGCATCACTGAGCTCCAGTTGCACGGGACTGGTCCCCAGGATATTTACAATTTTGAGCAGCTATTTGAGAAAGGGAGCTGAGGGAGCAGGCAGAGGCCAGGGCAGAGTTCCAGCAGCTGGGAGTGGGCACTGCCTCGGGTTTCACAGCTCCTAAACACAAGCTCAGAGCCCTGAAGCAGCTGCACACAAACTGCTGCAAGCTCCAGCTGAACAAAGAGAATCAGCCCAGAATACAGCAGGGATTGAGACTCCACCTGCACCTGCAGGGAACAGCAAGAAACCCTCTGAGCACCCCATATTGGACGGTATTTTAAAAAAGGATTGTAAATACAAAATGCACTCGGCTGTTCCCTCTGGATTTGCTCACTCCAGGCAGCACTAAATCCACCCCATCAGCAAAGCCACCTTGTTAGAGCTGATCCTAAATTCACAGAGAATTAAGGGGTGTTTGTTGGGGATTTTTGTTTCCTGGTTCTTGCTGTGGGGAAGCGCAAACACCTGCAGGGGCTGCACGTGGGACGTGTTTATGGAGACAGTTTGGGAATTTTGGCAATAAGCACAGGCACTACTGATTGTACACAGGCACTACTGATTGTACACAGGGTTCATTCCCCACTTTCAGAACAAGAAGCCACCACTAAAAGCAGCTTCCCGTTTCAGCAGGTTTGTTTGACAAGAAGAAAAGGGAACAGATGGAAGTGATGCAGCACAATCCAAGATAATTTCAGGAAAGGGCACTTGCACAAGTGCAGGATCACCACCCTCACCCAGCCCCTCAGGGGCCTCTTTGTCACAGGTTACCCTGTTCCAACCACACCTGGCCATAAAAACCAGGAAACAAACCCACAAGGATCCTACAAGGGGCAGAGTGAAGGGCACCTGGGAAAGAAGGGCCTTGCAGCCACCAGCTGAAGGGAAGGGCAAAGAACAGAAGTGCCGGGCACAGAACCTCTCCTGATCTCACTGGGCAGCATCCCCTGCCTGGGGAAATCTCTGAGACTCAACAGAATTCGAGGATTCTCCCCTGTCACAGGCTCTAAAAATGTGAATATAAACCTGGCTGCTTGCATTAACGTGGAAATAATCAAGCCAGTCTTCCTTATGCAACTTGTTAAATATATTCCCTTATTTATTTATATGTTCCCTTATTTATTTATAAGAAATCTGCTCCAAATGGTGTTTAGGTATATTGAAGAGTTCCAGTGATCAAGTTAGAGCCAGTATTTGGGTTCTAAAAGTACACTTCGACAGAAAAAAAATCCTGTTTTAAATATAACCTCAAATTCAGGCTGAAGCTGATGCCACGACCTCATTGAGCTCCACTCCATTAACAAAAACTTTACCTTCCCTCTACCAGCTAATGAATGTTTGGAGCTGAAGGTTTGGTTTGTGTTCAGCAGCCCTGTCCTTGCTGCCAGATTCATCTGGCTACACAAATTTGAAACCCAATTTGCAGAGCCCTGAGGCTTTTCCTCCCAAGTCTTACCAATTAACAACTCCGGGTAAAATCTCAAGTTATCCCAGTTATTGCAGGAGCTGGAATCAGCCTCAAACTTTACATTTCCCTTGCCCTTCCAAAGGTTGTTAATTTTCTGATTTATAAAACAAGTTCTAAACAAGGCTGGTGGTGGAGGGGAGAGTCCCAGAGAGTCGGGTCAGTTAAGGATTACATCATTGATCTGGTTCAGTTCATGTCTCTGAACAAAAGAGGAACTGCTTAACTGGAAAGAAAAAGCCTTCAGGAGCTGGGAATGGGTTTGTCTCCTCGGTTCCTTGCAAAAGCCACAAATTCCAGATGGTCTGGGGATTCTTATTGACAAAATTCTTATTTAAATGTGGTATTTGACAGTTGTGTGCAAGGTTTAAAAGCTGCATTATTCATTCATCTGCATGTGCTATATATAACTCAACTCAGAGGGAAAGGAAGCTGTGGCTGGAAGGAAGGGGGGAAAAAACAGCACCTACAGGTAAATTTATATTTAAAAAATAATGGTCTGGCACAGCGGACATATAAATAAGAATGGTCACCAGTGAGAACTGCATTCTTGAAGTTCCTGGCTTTAAAGGAACTGCTCACCTAGGCAGAGCTCAGCCCTGCCCCCAGGCCTGGGGATACCTACCAGCAATCCTCCTCTTCGGGGCAATTCTCCAGCTCCAACACTTTCACTTCATCCAGACCTGCGTGGCTGGGAAGGCCCTGGAGATCTGCCCCCTTCTCCCTGGGGTTCTGTTCGTGGATGCCAGCCATGAGCAGGCTGCCCAGCAGCTCGGAGCTGGCACTGGGATGCCCGGGTGAGGGACAGCACCCATTGCTGTGGCTCTGCTCCCCGTTGGGTGCCACCTCCTCGGGGCCACTCTTGCAGCTGTACTGCACTGGTGCATCCAGGGCTCTCCTGAAGTTGTTCTCTCCTTCCTCCTGCCTCATTTTGCTGAGCTGGCTGTGCAGATCCGCCATCAGCTGCAGCTCCTGCTGCTCAGCCATGGCCTTGATGCTGCTGTTGATCTCCACGCCCTTGAGGCCGGGCTCGTGGCTCTCCACGCCGGCACGGATGTCCCCTGGCACGTTTGTCCCCAGCAGGCTCCTGCTCCTGCTGTGCTGGCTGTCCAGCTCCAGCCTCCTGACCAGCTCCCGCAGCTTCAGCACCTCGGGGCCCACGTCCTGGGGGGGCTCCGTGCCCATGGCCGAGTGCTCCGCGGCGTCTCTGCCCAGGGCCGGCTCCAGAGCCGGGTCCTGCTGGATCAGCGGGGAATTCCCGGGCACCACCATCCTCCAGGATACTCCAGCACTCTGCAAGGCACGCCAAACATCCACAGGAGTTTCAGGTAAATGGAATTAAACACTGAGAATTCTGCTTTTTATAAGCGTCACCCTAATTACGCCGGGGTGGGTGGAAGGGGTCCGAGTTTCACCCAAATCCAAAAAGAACGACTGCAAAAGCTCACGAATTCCTCTTTTCGAGCTGCACCTGCTCTGCTATCAATAAATTTAATAAAAGGAAGCTGATTTAATCTCCCACAATAGTTTAGTTTCCATCTGTTTACCAACAAAATACTTGAGAAAAGCGCTGATGGAGCAAAGTCAGGAAACATCATTAACAGGGTGCTGACGTCAGGCAACAGCAGCGTCAAGAAAATGGTGCAAACATCCTTTGTTCATTACCAGGTTTATCCTGGAAAAGCAGGAAAAAACTCGGAAAAATTTCTGTATCACCTTACACCAAAGTAACAACAGGAACTGCAGTTACTGTGGTACACGAAAATCAGCTTAAATAATGTTTATACCGGTGTGTGTTCCTGTTACAACTGAAAAGAGAGAGGGGAGCAAACAGCAAAAAAAAAATTAAAAAAAAAAAATCCCAAGTTAAGCTTATATATTCCACTAATCCAAAAACCCCATAAAGTGCCTTTCACACTGGTTTTACAAGATGAGCAAACACTGCTTTTCCCCTCCACCTGATCTATGTGAGTTTTCAGTTTCATTGGGCACACTCATTTCCAAACTGACTCTTCACTGAAAACCCCCAGTACTGAAAATCCCTTAATGAACAGTCCATGGAGCAGTAAAATGGGTTAAAAGCCAGAAATCCTCTCTGTTTTACAGGAGAGCAGAGGGAGTGAGTCAACACAGCCAATTCAAAGTTTAAAAACTGATGCACTTGTTACAACAGCAATCAAACAATCAAACCCTGACTTTTTGTGGCTGAGGATGTTCTTCCCCTTCCCTTTGCTGCACCTGTTTTTAAGTGCCAGTGAGCAAAGGAAACCACAAAAACTCAGTGTCACACAAAGCAGGGTTACAAAAAGACACCCCCATAGGCACCTCAGCATCTCCCCATTATTTAGGCACTTGTAATAGCAGTAGTTAATTTAAAAATACATTTTGTTTTGTTGGGGTTTTTTTTACCTGATTTTAAAAATTATTATTCTTTTGGTCCTCTATCTGCTAGATGTAAATATTCAACTTCCACTTGAGTTAATAAAAATACAAACAGCATTTAGGAAGAGCTGTGAGTGAACAGAGCACACTTTGCACCCACAGTCCAAACCCTGTAAGCAGCACTGCTGAAGGCGTTCTGCCTTGGGGAAAATAAATTTAAAATAAAATTAATTTGTGGAGCCACCAAGCAATCCCATTCACACTCGTGTGCCAGCTCCAAAAAGCTCCTGGTGTGGATTCCCACTGCTACAAACCCAAATCCTCTGGGTGTGATTTCCAAAGAGATCTCTGAGGAAGAGAGATTTCCAGAGATATCCCAAAGCTCAGCAGCTCTGAGGATGGCGAGTTTTAGGAGTTCCACTGTCCAAGCTAAACAGCTCAAGGAGGGGGTTTAGGAGATGAGTAACCCAAAAATCGGTTCCATCCCAAAGGTGAGGAGCTGGATAAAAACCTCACGTGAGGAAAAAAAACACACCTTGAGGGGGAAGAGCAGCTGAAAAACGTTGAGTCTTTCCCCACAACCACACACAAAAAAAAAACCCAAACCCCAGCAAAGACATGCGGGGGAAGAGATACAAACCTGCCAAAGTTAATTTCGTTGTTAATTTCATAACGGGGAGGGGGAAGAAATAAAACACGTTTAGAAGGAGGCAAAAAGGCGGCAGCCGTGAGAGATGGGATGGGAGACAAGAATTTGGAGTTTGCAGAGCAGATATTTGGGTGTCTCATGGAGGGAAAGGTCCCCTCACTCACCCCGGGCCATGGGGGCTTCTTGGAGAGCCGGGGGTGTGAAGGGTGGGGATAGGGCTGGGATAGGGCTGGGATGGGAAAGGGCTGGAATAGAGCTGGGATGGGAAAGGGCTGGGATAGGGCTGGGATGGGAAAGGGCTGGGATGGGAAAGCGCTGGGATGGGGCTTGGGGGGTCTTTGGGGCAATGATGGCCATGGGGTTTACGGAGAGTGCAGGCTCTGGGGAGGCTCTGAGAACCATAGGGGAGGCTGTGATGGCCATGGGGCTGCATGGGGAGATTTGGGGAACAGTGATGGCCATGGGGCTGAATCGGGGGTTCTGGGGGCAGTGATGGCCATGGGGCGGTTCTGGGGGGCAGTGATGGCCATGGGGCTGTGAGACCAGCAGGGGAAGCTGTGACGGGGCTGTGATGGCCACAAGCGCTATGAGAGGGCTCTGAGAGGCCGGGGGGCTGTGATGGCCGGGGGTTGTGAGGGCTCTGAGCAGCTCCGAGAGCCGGGGGGGCGAGGCGAAGGACGGGCTGAGGGTCCGGGGAAGGCTCTGCTGGCCGTGCCGGGGCTGCGCGCTGTGCGGCACCGGCGGACGCGACCCCCGCGGGGGGCACGGGCGCGGCCGGTCCGCAGCGAGCGCGGCAGAGCCGAGCGCGGCGGGTACCCCCCCTTCCCTCAGACGGTACCTGGATGGACGGATGGATAGATGGATGGATGGACAGACAGACGGGCGGACAGGCGGATGGACGGCGGGCGCTCGGTGCCGCTGCCGCCTTTCTCCGGCGGCTCAGGCCGGCCCGCGAACGGCGGGAGGCACCGCCCCCGCCCCTGTGCGGGGAACGGGCGAGGGGCGCGCTGCGCATGCGCGGGGCCGCCTCGGCAGCCGGGGAGGGAGCGGCGGTGAGCGCTGAGTGAGGGGAGCGGAGTGAGGGGAGAAGGGTGAGTGAGGGGAAAAGGGTGAGTGAGGGGAAGAGGGTGAGTGAAAAAGGTGCGTGAGGGAGAAAAGGTGAATGAGGGGAGAAGAGTGAGTGAGGGAAAAGGGTGAGTGAGGGAAAAGGGGTGAGTAAAAAATGGTGAATGAGAGGAAAAGGGTGGGGGGAAAGAGGTGAGTAAGGGGAAAAGGGGAGAATGGGGAGAAAAAGGGTGAGTGACAGGAAAGGGGTGAGGGGAAAAGGGAAGAGTGAGGGGGAAAGGGGTGAGTGAAAAAGGATGAGTGGGGGAAAGGAGGAATGAGGGGGAAAAGGTGAGGGGAAAGGGGTGAGTGAGGAGGAAATGGGTTAGGGCAAAGGAGTGAGGGGAAAGCGGGTGAATGAGGGGAAAAGGGTGAGTGAGGGAAAAAGGAATGAGGAAAAAGGGGTGAGTGAGAGGAAAAGGGAAGAGTGAGGGCAAGGGGGGAGAGGGGGAAAAGGTGAGTGAGGTGGAATGGCAGTGAGAAGGGGGAAAGGGATGAATGAGGGGAAAGCAGGGAGTGATGGTGGGAAGGAGGTGAGTGAGGAGGAAAAGGGATGAATGAGGGAAATGGGGATCAGTGAGGGGAAGAAGGAGTAATGGCAGGAAAGGGTTTAAAAGGGGGAAAAGATGAATGAGGGAAAGGGGTGAGTGAGGAGGAAAGGGGCAAGTTAGGGGGAAAGAGGGGAATGGAATGGGTGAGGGAGGAAAGAGGGAACCGGGGGGGAATGGGGCAGGTGAGGGAGGAAAGGGGCTAAGTGAGGGGGAAAGGGGTGAGGAAGAAAAAGGAGATAAATGGGAGAAAATGAAGGAGTGATGGTGGGAAGGATGTGAGGAGGAAAAGGGATGAATGGGGAGTGGGGATGAATGAGGGGAAAAGGTTTAAAAAGGGGGAAAGGGAATGAGAGGGAAAGGGGTAAGTGAGGGGGATTAGAGTGAGGTGGAGGAAAGAGAAGGAGTGAAAAAGGTGAGGAAGTCAGGGAAAAGAAGGGAGAGAAGAAGAGGAGCAAATGAGGGGAAGAAGGCTGAGTAGGGAAGGGTGAGTGAGGGGGAAAGGGTCTCTCCCTGTGCGTGTGTTCCAGAAAAATGCACAAAATACAGCTTAGCTGGGATCTCCCAAAGCTTCGGTGAGTGCAACGTCTTCAGGACAGTTTTATCGGGCAACAATAAAACAAACACAATTCTTTGACATCCTGCTCCCCAGCTGGACCCTCACAGTGCCTGTGGCAGCTGCTGATAAGAAGTGTTGGATGTTTGGCAGTCACCAAGGCCACGTGCTGCCAGCAGAATCTCGTTTTTTGTACCAGCTGAACACCACATCCAGCCCTGACACTGCTCGAGGTCTGTTCATTTTGGCACTCTTGTTGTTCATTTTGTCACTCTGCTGTAATTCTCAGATGCTCTGGGAAGGTTTGGTCTGTGCAGAAGATGGGATTTCCAAAAGCCAGGATGGGTTTGCCTCCACCTCTGCTCAGTCACCACCAGCACCAGCACATTTCATACCCTTTATTTATTTTTTTATTTGTTTCACGTGAAATAACCTGGTCGGGTTTTGTCCCCACAAGCAGCAGAATCCCAAGAGAAATAACATCTTTTTTGTGAAAGAAAAATACGTGCATGACCTCATCCATCATGAAGGAAAAAGTCAGTGTGCAGGTGACACAAAGAGCAGGAAGATTCACCTCTTTGAATAATTCATTTGTTTTTTATTCACGGGGAGGGGTAGGTCAGCAATTCTTCAAAGCTCCATACAAATCATAAAGCAGAACATTTTCATGCTAGCTGCAGGTTCCTTTGGGGTGATACATGTCTGGAAGGGGGAAAAGCCCCTCCTGTCAGGGAGTTGTGCAGAGCCAGGGGGCCCCTCCTGATCCTGAGCCCTTTCCCAGCTCCATCAGCTGCTCTCAAACACAAACAAACATGTCACGGGGGAGCAGGGTTCCTTTTCTCACAGGGTTTTAGGAGAAGCTTGGTTTTCAGCAATTCTTGGCTGTGGGGATGGCGAAGCCCTGGTTGCCCAGAGCAGCTGGGGCTGCCCCTGGATCCCTGGGAGTGTCCAAGGCCAGGCTGGACGGAGCTTGGAGCAACCTGGGATCCTGGAAGGTGTCCCTGCCCGTGAACTTGAACTCCTTCCAGCCCCAAATCATTCTGTAATTCTATAATTCTATGATTCCTAATGAGGAAACAGGAGGTCTGGATACTTTTAGGACACCTGACTTTCAGTATTCAGCATTCCCAACCTCTCAGCTCTGAGTTAAGGGCTCAAATGACACAGTTCTGATTTTACTGAGTGCAGCATCTGCTGGAAGTTCAATATTAGTGAGCACTAATTAGTTCACAGCAACGAGAGGTGTGGGCAAAGCCCTGGTGAGGGGAGAAGTTGGGATTTCAGCTGAGCAGGGCTCTTTGTCAGGAGGGGGAATTGAGGTTCCCCTGCCCTCAGAGCCCGAGTTAGACACCAGGGAAGGACTTGTGTTATCTCCCCAAACAGGCTGCAGCCACAAGTGCTGCTGCAGCATCCTCGGGGAAGAGGCAGGAAGGAGAATTAAAGCTGGCACACAATTAGAACAGAGTTTGGAAGTGCTCCTGGAATCCTGGGGAAAGCACATGGAAACCATAGCAGAAGCTATTTCTAGGCTGAATTTGGGGGTGAAAGAAGCAGAAATAGGCTTTTGCTAAGGACTAAATTCAAACCCTCCCAAGAATCCAAATTTAGGAAAGAAAGGGAAAGAAATCCATGTCTCATCAGCAGAGCCTCGTGGCAATGAGCTGGGATCAATGGGGAGCTGTGCGTGGCTCCCAGCTCCAGGAGCACCGGGAACCCTGGTGCAGGTAAAGCCAGGCTTAGCCAGGCTCGGCACCTCTGGGGAATGTTAGCTCTGAGGGGGAGCCTGCCTTATCTCCTTCCCATCACACGAGTTCCGTGCAGGTGACAGCAGCAAGCAGCGGGTGCTGAACTCATCCACGGGGCAGGAGAGGGAGCAGAACTGCAGGAAAGCGGGAGCAGGAACTGTGCAATGCCAGAGCTGCGGCGTTCCCGGCTCCGCGGGGCCCTGCGGGCACACAGAGAGCGGCTGAGCACGGCCTGATCGCAGCGGGAATCCTCCCCAGCCACAGCCCTGACCAGCTACGGGCAGCAGCGAGCCAGGAGCCCCGTTCCCTCCTCTTCCTCCTCCTCCTCCTCCGTGCCGGGAGCACACGAGCTCTCCCAGCCCCAGCCCAGCAGCTCTGCTCGCTGCCATGGCACCTCCTGCTCCTTCCAGATCATCAGACAAAACCAAACCGTGTCCAACCCTCTCCTGTTGATCTGTCTCTACTCTTCCCAAAGGTTTTCAGCCCGAAGGATCTTTAGGTGAAGCTGTGTCCCTGTCAGGGGAATGTCACAGCTCTGACAGCACGGGGTCAGCCCAGGACACAGCGAGGAACCTTGAACTGCCTTCCCTGAGGACTCTCCAACTCTGAGGGACATTTCTGTCATCACTCAAGCCAGCCTCTGCCTGTCACCCCCGGGAAGCCACCACAGCCTATTTGTCACCGAGATTCCAGCTCCAACCAACACCCCCGGGACAGCAGGAGTGAGTTTGCAGCTAATGCTGCTATAAGGTCACTGTTGGACACTGACAAGCCTGGAAGTGTGAGGGTTAAATGGCCTTCAGCAGTGAGCTCTGAGCTCTCCCCCAGCCATCCTCCCTGGAATGGCTTTGGAAAGGGGCCCTGGAACCCACCTAGAAGAGCTTCTCGTAGCACTTGTCACAGTGGACAATGTCCCGGTGGATGAATATTTTATCCAGCAGATCTCCCATTGCTTTGTGGCAAATTCCACACTGCCAAAAGGAAAACAGCAAGGTTGGATAATGACCAAAACCCCACACAGGAGCAGCAAGAGGGAGGGGGCAGAAGTCTGCAGCATTTTAAGGGGCAAGGATGGAACCTTTGGGGCTGCATTTTCCTACAACAACCCTACAATGTCCCTGCAGGCCTGTTCCTCCCACACTGCCCATCCCTCCTCACATCCCCACACACTTTCCTACAACAGCCATCCCTGCAGGCCTGTTCCTCCCACATTGCCCATCCCTCCTCCTCCTCCCACCCTCTTTCCTTGGAAACCCTGCAGGCTCTGAGGATTCAGCCACCTCCACTAGAGCACAAAGACCACAAGGACAGTGGGGTGAGGACATGAGGGTGCTGCCAATAATAAAGAATTCTCCTTGTTCTAACATTTATTCAAAGAAAACCTTCTGGGGACACCTGTGACTGCCTGTTTCTGTCCCGATGTGAGGTAAGGCTTTGGCACACCCCATGCAGATCCCTCTGGCAGCCTGGGGATGGAGTTTGCAGGAAGATCCCTGCTCCCAGCCCTGCCATTCCCGGCAGCACAGGCACTGCCTGGGGCTTACCCTGAAGCAGTACTCGTGGCAGTGGATGTTCAGGTGCTCTATGATGATCTTGGGGCAGTCTCGGATCTCCCGGCTGCAGTAAGTGCACAGGGGCTCACTGGACCTGGACAACAGGGCAGGGGATTCCTCTGTGATGCTCTGGTTCCAGTGCCAGCACTGGGACTGGGTTTATTTTGTCCCTGTCCACGAGCAACCTGCTCCCACACTGTGGCTGTGTGAGTGACAGAGCAGGGCACTGTGCTGGCCCAGGGGTGCAGGACAGATCTTAGAATCCTAGAATTGTGGCATTATGGAATGGTTTGGGTTGGAAGGGACCCTAAAGCCCATCCAGTGCCACCCCTGCCATGGCAGGGACACCTCCCACTGTCCAGGGTGCTCCAAGCAGCTCCAACCTGGCCTTGGGCACTGCCAGGGATCCAGGGGCAGCCACAGCTGCTCTGGGCACCCTGTGCCAGCCCTGCCCACCCTGCCAGGGAACGATTCCATCCCAATATCTCATCTGATCCTTCCCTCAGTCAGTGAGAAGCCATCCCCTTTGTCCTGTCACTCCTTGGAAATAATCCCTTCCCATTTTCCTTGTGGGATCCCTTCAGGCACTGAGCAGCCACAATTCAGTTACCACAGAGCTCAGCTCCAGGCTGAGCCATCCCAATTCTCTCAGCCTTTCCTCACAGGAGAGGTGCTCCATCCCTCTGATGGACTCCCAGTCACTGCATTTCCATTTATTGTGCTGCTCTTCCACCAAACACACCCCAGGGTCCTCAAAAAGCAAACTCTTACAATCATTTCTGATTGAGAATTTGATGAACCCCCCCAAGGCAGCCCTGCCCTGTCCTACCTGTGCAGGGGAGCACTGGGCAGGAAACTGTGCTGGCTGTAGCTGCTTCTCTCCAGGTCACTCAGATCCACAAGGCTGCCACTGCAGAAGGAGAGAGGGAAATATCAGCACCTGGCAGTGATAGGTGGGAAGAGAATTTTGTGTGGAATCATAATCTAATGATCTGGAATATCCTGGCTACCTGTTCCTTGGGGAGAAGGTTCTCAAAGTGCCTTCCCAGGACACAGAGAGGAGCCTTTCAGTACCCCCAGGGAGAATTGCCCAGGCAAAACTCTCCTCACCAGGGCTCTCATGTTTCCATCTGCTCCCTACAAATAGCAGCTAAAACTCCAAATCTTGCAGGAAAAGGCACAGAGCCCATCCCTGGCTCCATCCCTCATCCAGCTGAGTGTTCCCTCTCTGAGTTTCCTGGGTATTTGGCTTTGGCTGCTGCCAGCAGCTGTGCAGAGCTCTGGGACAGGCTGGAGATTTACAGGGTGTAATCAGCTCCCCCAGGGATGCCAGCAGTGCCTGCAGGGAGCTTCAAACTGCTGTGAACTGGTGCCACATCACTGCGAGGGTGATGTGCATGGGACCAAATTCTGCTCTTGTCACTGTCTTGAAGTCTGCAGCAGCTTCACTCGAGCAGAACACAAAGGACTGAAGATCAAAGTTTGGAAACGGTGCCATTAAACTTTTTTAAACACATACAATGAAGTTTTTGCAGTGGGAGCCCTCACCCTCCACATTCCAGCCGTTTACAGGTGAATCCTCCCAGTGCCAAACCTGCAGGGTGGTGTTTTCATCCACCTCAGGAGGAGCTTCCCTGTTCCCTGGGAGCAGTGGGACACAGGTCCTGCTGTCCCCAGCACAGCGGGGGGACAGGGCAGCATTTCCAGAGCAGAACCTGCCCTCCAAAAACCCCCCGGGGCTGATCGGCTCCATCCTGCTGCCATGTGGGAGGTGGCACAGGTGACACCTGGCAGTGCCACACGGTGTCCCCAGCACTCCGTACCTGCCGTGGCGCGGCGACGCCGCAAAGCCGCCGGTGTTCACGTACTCCTTGACAAAGAGGATCCCTCTCCTGGGAAAACGGGAAGCATTTCCATGAGAAAAGAGAAAAAAGAAAAGAGCCCGAGCCGGGCAGGGACCGTGCGAGCCCCTGGGCACAGAACGCGTGCGGGAGGGGCTCGGAGCGGGATGTTGTTGTTGTTCTGGAATAAATCCTGCATATCGAGCTTTGTTGCTAAATAACAACTCCTCTAATTACCCCACCACAACAAATCGAGTTAATTGGCAAGAATGGGATGGATAATGTAACCCCTTTTCATCCGGTTATGGGTCTGAGGGATAATTCTTTCCCAGCTCCTGTCAGGATTAGGCACACAATGGGCATGGAGAGAGCTCCCAGCTCCCGGTTAACAGCGAGCCCTGTGGCACAGCGCTGCTTCCAGGGGCTCTTCTGCCCCTTCTGGAATATCTCCGGTGTTTGCAGCCTGTGTGGAACTGCTGCTGCCTGCTTGGGGATGTTTTTACCTCCCTTGCATGTCCCTGCCTCATTCCAATCCCGGCTCCAGAATTCCATGTCCCACCCTGGTGCAGGCCGAGGGGAGCCCTGTGTCCCCCACCCTCAGCCTGCAGCCCTGACAGGAATTAATCAGCCTTTTTCCATGGTGCATTTCCACTGCTGCCTAAAAGCTGGGATTAATCCTCCCTTCTTACACTAAGCCCTGTCATAGCTAAGGAAAGAAACCTCTTTTTTTCCTTAAACTGAGCACGAGCTCTTCTACATCATGGAATCATTAATGTTGAAAAATACCTTTAAGATCATCAAATCCAACCATCAGTTAGTGCCACCACCACGGTCACCACCAAACCATGCTCCCGATTTTCTGAACCTCAACCTCCTCTGGCCCAGCCTGAGGCTGTTCCCTCTCCTCCTGTCCCTGCTCCCTGGGAGCAGATCCCAAAATCCCAAATCCCCTCTGCCTGTCCCCTCCTGTCAGGGAGTTGTGCAGAGCCAGAAGTTCCCCCTGAGCCTCCTTTTCTCCTTCTGAGCCCCTTCCCAGCTCCCTCAGGAATTCTCCAGCCCCTTCCCAGCTCCCTCAGGAATTCTCCAGCCCCTTCCCAGCTCCATTCCCTTCCTGGACACGCTCCAGCCCCTCAGGGTCTGCCTTGAGGGGCCCAGAGCTGAGCCCTGGGTTCCACGTGGGACCTCACAGTGCCCAGCCCAGGGGGACAATCACTGCCCTGACCCTGCTGGCACAGTGGGTGACACCAGGCGGGTGCCCGGGCTGGAGTGGCCCCTCCTGCCCCTCCCGTTGTTTACCCGGCAGTGCTGGGGTCAGGCTGGTAGCCAGAGCTGGGGTGGGAGCTGCAGAGCCTCTCACTGGAGCTGGACAGGAGCCTGTGGAGAGAGGGAAGACCCTGTGAGGATGGCAGGAGCCAAAGTGACAGCCAGGAGAATCTGCCACTGCTGGGAGGGCAGATGGACAGCACAGCCCTTTGCCAGACCTTGTCATGCACCAAACCAATCCCTTTGTCCTTCCATCTCTGCCACAGGACAGGACTGCTCCCCCGGAGGAGGGATTTGGGGAAGTCTCACTTGCAGGGCCGTGAGACAGAAGATCCAGTGAGATCTTCCACTGAGGATGGGCTGAGTGAGTGGGAGCAGCCATGGGGAGAAAGGGCACAGGAGGAATTGCAAGAGATGGGAACATTCCCAGAGCCAATGGAGCTGTCTGTCCCCAGCTCAGTAAATTGAAGCCCTCAGCCTTGCACTGGAGCCTCAGACAGCACATGGACGGGCTGGCACTGCAAGGAGGGGCTGCAGGGGCCCAGGACGATGGCATTCCACACTGGAGACATCCTGCCCCTTCCAACAGCCTTGATCTGGGAGCACTTCTGTCACTGAGCCATTGACACTGGGGACAGTTCTGCCACTGAGCCATTGACACTCTGGGGACAGTGAGCCTCTCTCTGCTGTGATCTCTGCTTTCCTGTAGCAAAGGCCAATTCCTGGCCAGGAATCAGCTCCCCATTCTCCTGTCCCTCTCTTCTGGCCTCCCATACAGGGAAAAATCTCCAGGGATTTTTCTGGTAGTGTCCCAGACCCTCAGCTAGGCAGCTTTAGTTAGGAATGGTTTAAGAGCAGCTCTGTGCCACTGGATCATGGATCCACTGCCTGGAAACCAATCCTCACTCTCTCAGCTCTTGGCTTTGCCTGCTGGCTCCTGCTCCATAAATTTTTGGGAAATTTCCCTCGGAGCCCCTGTGACTCCCCATTTACCTGGTGCTGTTTAAGCTGTCCATGTAGAATGGCACCCTGTGGCTTCTCTGGGCCATGGACATGGTGACATCTCTGGGGAGAGCAAGTGGAACAGTCTCAAGCTCTGAGTTGGGGAATCTGAAGGATCCTTACACAGGGTGGGAATTTTGGCTGGAATGTCCCTGCTGGGCACTGACATCTCCCACTCCACACCCAATTTGGAATCACCAAATGCATCAGGACACCTGGATATACTGAATAAATGTGGCACTGGGAAGTTCCTTGGCTTGGGAAGTTGGGATCCCAGCCCTGCACTCACCGTCCTGCAGCAGGGCTGAAGTCCCCGTGCCCCCTGGCACTGTCATACCAGCTGCTCCCAGAATAAACACTGCCCTGGGCATCAGGGCTGGGCCTGAGAGGACACACAAAGCCTGAGCACACAGCAGCAGAGCTCTGCAGTGCCCACACTGGGCACACAGCCACTGCCAGGCTCCTGGCACCACCAAACCCTGCCACAGCAGTGGAATCCCCGTCCCTGGAAATGTCCAGAAAATGTGTGGATGTGGCACTGGAGGATGTGGAATCCCCATCCCTGGAAATATCCAGAAAATGTGTGGATGTGGCACTGGAGGCTCGGTGGTGACAATGTGACAGCACTGGACTGACAGCTGATGATCTCAGAGGCCTTTCCACGATTCCATCATGCACTCCCCCATGCTCTGCCTGTTGCCCCTGTGCTCCACAGGGAGAGCAGACTCCAAACCCAACACCTGAGCAAAGCCAAAGCATTCCCAAGCTTTCCCAGATCCCTGCAAGTGTCCAAGGCCAGGCTGGATGGGGCTTGGAGCAGCCTGAGATTGTGAAGGTGTCCCATGCCAGCAGCTTTCCCTGTGTCTGCATCCTAAACCATCAATCCCAAATCTTCATTCCCAAATCCTCACACCCAAAGCCCCATTCCCAAACCCTCACCCTCAAATCTTCATCTCCAATCCCCCATCCCCAAACCCTTAACTCCAAACCCTCACCCCCAAACCTTCATCCCCCAAACCCTCACACCCAAAGCCCCATTCCCAAACCCTCACCCCCAAATCCCCATCCCCAAACCCTCACCCCCAAATCCCCATTCCCAAACCCTCACCTCCTGGTGCTGAACACCTGGCTGTCCACATAGGCTGGGATCCTGTGGCTGGGCACAGAGCCCCCAAAGCCCTGGCGCTCCTGGAGCAGGGACAGGGGGTGCTGGGACTCGTGGCCACTGGGAATTCTCTCCTGGGAGCTGCTGAAGTCTGACCTGCTGGAGAGTGAAACTGGACCCTGAAGCCAAGGGCTGCCTTTGCTCTGAGCTCACACGAGTGCTCAGGGTGTGCTGAGGGTGGCTCCTGCCACTTCCCACGGGAACAGGGAGAGCTGGGACACCCTGGTGGCTATAGGAGCACAGGGCCATGGAATTCCACAATTCCAGAATGGTTTGGGTGGGGAGGGACCTCCAAGTTCATCCCAGTTCCACCATCCCAGGCTGCTCCAATCCCAATCCCAATCCCAGTCCAGCCTGGCCTTGGGCACTGCCAGGGATCCAGGGGCTGCTCTGGGCACTCTCCCAGGGAATCCCTTCCAATATTGCTGTGTCAGTGTGATTGCATTGGCTGAATTTCCTGGCAGGAGTTTCAGGGAGCAGAGGGTGAGGGTGACAGGGGCCCTGATGGCACAAGCCCAGGGATGTCCCCAGCCCACCTGGCTGGCCCCGGGCCGGGCTCGCTGTGCCTCCAGCCCCCCGGGCTGTCCCGGTGGCTCTCAGTGCTGGGAGGGCTTTGTTCCTCACGGTCCAGAGGGATCCTGGGGGGGGAAAGAGCTGGCAGGAGCTGCAGCACCCGAGGGTGTCACCCTGTCCTGGGGGGGAATTGCAGGAGCACCGTGGCTGTCACAGGGTCACAGTCAGGATGCTTTGGCTTGGGAGGGACCTTAAAACTCACCTATATATATATATTTATATATACTATAGATAAGAATTAATAAACAACTGAGTCTGAACACAAAAATCCTGTCTCTTGTACTTCAGTCCCCACTCTAACGAAAAGCAGAAGAAAAAAAAAAAAAGATAACCACTAAACCTCTTGTTCAAATTGTTCAAATGAATTAAAGATCTGAAGTCAAGCCAAAACGAGACCTGAAGTTTCACTTTGGATGCTCCACTACCCAATTCTGCCCACTGCAGGGGTGATGTTTATAGGACCCTGGCATGGTTTGGGTGAAAAAGGACCTCAGAGCCCCCCCAATGCCACCCCTGCCATGGCAGGGACACTTTCCCCTGTCCCAGGCTGCTCCAGCCTGGCCTTGGGCACTGCCAGGGATCCAGGGGCAGCAAATCTGGGAATTCCATCCCCACCTTCCCAGGGAACAATTCCTAATCCCCAAATTCCCATCCAGCCGTGCCCTGGGGCAGTGGGAGCCATTCCCTGTGTCCTGTCCCTCCATCCCTTGTCTCTCCAGCTCTCCTGGAGCCCCTTTAGACCCTGAGCTCTCCCTGGATCCTTCTCCTCTCCAGGTGAGCACCCCCAGCTCTCCCAGCCTGGCTCCAGCCCTGGAGCAGCTCCGTGGGTTCCTCTGGATTTATCCCAGCAGTTTTATTTATCCCAGCAGCTCCAGGTCCTTCTGGTGCTGAGCTTCAACAATTCCTGTGGGAGATCCCTGCAGTGCTCTGCTCCTCCCAGGGTGAAGGATGGCACTGGCAGAGCCTCTATTGATCCCCCAATTCCCTGAGCCAGGAAATGAGCACTTGGATGCCTTGGGACAGGCCAGGAAGGAGAACTGGAGGTGAGTGAGGGGTGTCCTGGCTCTGTACCTGTCCTGCCGTGGCTCAGGCTCCTTTGCATGTGGAATGTCTGGAGCTGGGATGCTGCTTCCCCCAGGAACAGAGCTGCACCTGCCAAGACAGGAGATCTTTACAGGGTGGAAACACCCTGAGCACACAATTCCTGTGGGATGGAGATGCAGCCCCTGGAGAATCTCCTGCCTCAAGGAATAAAAAAAAAAAAAATGCAAAATCCTTGCATGAAAATGTGCAAGATAGAATCATGGAATCACAGAATTGGTTAGGTTGGAAAAGCCCTCTGAGGTCATGAAATGCAACCAGCCAGCACTAACCCAAGTCCTCAAAAAACCCAAAGTGTTGTGAAAAAACCAGATGGAAAATCCAGACCTCTCAAGAAACAGGGCTGAAAGGAAAGATGCCAAGCACAGCACCTTCAGTGCCTCCCCCTGCAGCAAATCCCCACATCCTCCCAGCAGGAAAAGCAATCCCATTTTTCCTCTTGCCTTTCTGCAGTGCTGTCCTCACTCTGCACACAGGATGACATCCCCATGTCCCTGTCCCTGCTGCCAGCAGTGTCCTGGGAGCACAGCTCAGACCTGGGGACAGGAACACTCAGGTCACCCTCTGATGCCAAGGTGTTCTCACTGACACACCCGGGAGGGAGCCCAGATTTACAAAGAGCCTCAACTCTTCCAATTCAGGCAGAAAATATGGACAAAAAAAGGGAAATTATTCCATAAAGTTCTTCCATGTGCACACCCAGCCCAGTTCAATACCAGACCCAGCATTACCATGGAGCCTAATGCCAAATTTTATTGCTTATTGTCTCTCCCTAGAAACTCTCTGCTCCCAAATTTAAAGTCTAGGAAGCAACTCCTGGCTTTGATGGCTCCAGCTAAGGAGGATCTTTTCTGCCAGGTTTTCCTATAAAACCATGGTAAGAGGTTCAATCCAGTAAAACTAGCACTAGAATCAGGCACAAAAAGGCCTCAGGTTGCACTAGAGGAGGTTTAGATTTGACATTGGGAAAAAATTCTGCATGGAAAGGGTTGTCAGGCCCTGGAAATGTTCAGGGAATTGTGTGGATGTGGCACTTGAGGACAGTGCTGAACGTGGATTTAATCCAGAGATCTTTTCCAACCTGAACAATTCCATGATTCTACAAACAGGAGAACCTGGGAGGATGTTTATGAGCAGGGGGAGATGCCCAGGGAATCATCCCACAGAAGGGAGGGGGAATTTCCCATTCCCATTCCCATTCCCATTCCCATTCCCATTCCCATTCCCATTCCTCACCCTGCCCTGCTGGGCTCAGCAGGATCCTTCAGCCTGGGGGGCTCTGGGGGGGAATCATGGCCAGAAGCTCCAGGGCCCCTCTCAGTGAGGCTGCCTGAGTCCAGAAACCTAAACCAGACATCCAGGGCTGGGAAAATCCGTGTGGGATGGGCAGACACCCATTCCCTGGAGAGGAGCACGAGCCAGTTTGGCCAGAACCATTCCAAACATCCCAAATCTCCAGCCCCAAAGAGCCCCAAATCTCCAGCCCCAAAGGGCCCCAAATCTCCAGCCCCAAACGTCCCAGTCCCCCCAGTCCCCACCTGGTCTCATCCCAGTAGGGCTGCTGATGGGATGGGCCCTCAGGATTTGTGGGGCCGCTCCTCTCCTCATATCCCAAGCCAGACCTGGAAAGCAAAGGGGCACCCATCAATCACAGCCCTAAAATCTGGCACTGCTCTGCTCACCAGGCCAGGCTTGTGCCTAACCCAAACCCTAAACCTAACCCTAACCCAAAACCCTAACCCCAAACCTTAACCCAATCACAACCCTAAAATCTAGCACCAGCACCCTGGCACTGCTCTGCTCACCAGGCCAGGCTTGTGCAAGCCTGCACTGGGGCTTTTCCTGGGACAACCCCTAACCCCAACCCAAATCCCAGCCACAATCCTAACCCAACCTCTAACCCAAACCCCAACCCTAATCCAAACCCTACCCCTACTCTAAACCCTAACCCCAAACCCAACCAAACCCTAATCCAAAGCAAACCCAAACCCTAACCTGAAACCAAACCTGAGCCCAAACCCTAATCCAACCCAAACCCCTAACCCCAAATCAAACCCAAATCCTATCCCTAAACCAAACTCAAACCCCAACCCAACCCGAACCTAAACCCCAATACCAATCCCAAACCCTCACCCAGCACCAACCCTAACACAAACCTCAACCCAAATCCCAACTTTAACCCAAACCCCAACCTTAACACAAACCTCAACCCAAATCCCAACTTTAACCCAAACCTCAACCCTAACACAAACCTCAACCCAAATCCCAACTTTAACCCAAACCCCAACCTTAACACAAACCTCAACCCAAACCTCAACCCAAACCCCAACCCTAACCCCAACCCAAATCCCAAACCCTAACCCAACCCCAATCCCCCCTGGATTATCAGGGAATTGAAGCCCACCAAGAACAAGAGGAGGAAATCTCTGCAGTGCTTGGCTGGACTCAAAGGACATGGAGGGGGATACAACACAAAGCCCTTGGTTTATTTAAACCTCAGTTTAAATTCCCATCCTTGGGGAAAAAAGTGGGAGCAGGAGCCTCTTTCTGTGCCTGCCCATTCAGGTTTCCCTTGATCCTCAGGATTATGGGACACCCATGTTTTTATGGGATTATTACTACAGCCCCTGAATTCACCCTACTGGTACCTTTTAAAGGAATATTCTGTGTCCTCGATGTGCACAGGGGTTCTCTCAGTGCCATGAAAAGGGACATCAGACTGCAAGGGTGACCTGGCAAAAAAAAAATGGGGAATTCAGAACTTCCAGAAGTTTCCAGGGGATTTGTATGGAACAGCAACACTGCCCAGGAAAGAATTGTCTCAGAGAATTGGTTTTCCCTCAAAAAAAAAAAAAAATTCCATCCAAACCACGAGGAGGAGAGGCTGGTGGTGGAACTGAGGTTAGTGGGATTCAATTCCCACACATCTCCAGGCAGGAATTCCCTGTCCTGTCCCAGGAGGGAGCACCTGGACAGAGCAGAAGACATTCCTACACCAGCAGCTCCAGGCTGTGGGATCCTCCTCACCTCAGCTCAGGGGCTGAATTAATTTCATAGAACCCAGGAATCATGGAAAGATTTGGGTTGGAAGGGACATTTCTCACTACCCCAGGCTGCTCCAGGCCCCAGTGTCCAACCTGGCCCTGAAATCTGCTCACCCCAAAGCCTCTGTTGGGCCAAAACATGGAAATGAATCCCAAAATAAGGGACAAGGAGGGAAGCAGCTCCAGGGAGATCCCAGCAGCAGCAATTCCTCCCTGACCCTGCACCCTGGGAATGTCAGGGCAGCAAAATCTAAAATCCTGTGGGATGGAGGCGCTGAAGGCAGAGCTGAAGCTGCTGGATCTGCTCTGAGAATCCCAAGGGTTGGAAAAAAAAAAACCTTCTGGGATGAGAGTCCCAGCTGAGCCTGATCCCCAGCCAGGGCACCAAGTGCCACATCAGGAATTCCTTGGGCACCTCCAGGGATGGGGACCCCAAACCTCTCTGGGCAGCTCCAATCCCTGAGCCCCCTTCCCATGGGGAATCCCTGCTCAATTCCCTGGGAAGCAGCTGTGTGACAGTGACCTGGAAAACGCTGTTCCCACTGCTCATCCACGCAGGATTTGCCTTTTCCTTTGTTGCCTGGCCTGGATCCTAATCCTGGCCTGGATCCTCATCCTGGTTTGGATTCTAATCCTGGTTTGGATTCTAATCCCAGCTCAGATTTTAATCCTGGCTCAGATTTTAATCCCAGCCTGGATTCTAATCCCATCTCCGATTCTAATCCTGGCTCCAATTCTAATCCCATCCTGGATTCTCATTCCTGCTCAGATGCTAATCCCAGCTCAGACTCTCATCCCAGCCTGGACTCCAATCCCGTCTCATTTTCTAATCCCAGCTCTAATCTGGGCTCACTGTTTGTTCCCAGCCCAGCCTGGGGGAGCAGAGCTGCCATCCCCAGGTCCCACCTGGAGTCTCCTGGCAGGGCTCAGGATGGAGCAGCTCCTCAGGAGCATCCCCAGCTCTGTCCCAGGAACCAGGGCTGGGCCTGTGACAGGAGGGGCTTGGTGCCAAAATAAAAAACCCAAAATATCCACCACGAGGCTTTCCTGGCTCCCATGGAACAGATTTTCCTCCCTCCTGCTTAGCTCTGGGAATTTCCTGAAGGGCTGATCCCAAACCCAAGCCACTCATCCCCGTGTGAGGACAGCAGATGGAAGATCCCAGAGTTTTTTGAGCTGCTGGGTCAGGCTCACCCAGCCCTGCAGGGGCTGAACCCAAAACTCATCCCAGCTCAGGAGAAACCCCCAGCCTAAAATGAAGGAGAAAAAGGGAATTTTCCACTTACTCTGGTGGGTAAAACCCATTGTTGGCTTCTGTGTGCTCAGGAAAGCTGGAAAAAGAGAGGCACAATTTGAGGAATGTTCTACAGGAGCTTTCCATGCATTTCAGAGTCACAGAGCCCAGGTGGAATCTGATTTTCCATCAGAAAATATCCATCCCAATATTCCAGCCAGCCCCAGAGCAGGATGTTATGGATTGTGCCCAGAGCAGGAATTCCACAGTGACTTTACCTCCCATTCGTGGCTCTGGGGGCTCCTTCATCCCATGGGAACCTCTCGGGCTTTTCCTTCACAGCCCTGTCACTAGAAAAAGGGAAATTCCAGTGAAAATGAAATTTTCACCATTTGCAGTGCATCAACCCAGAGAAATCTGCTGCTGTTTGGTTGGGAAATAAAAATAAAGTGAGATGGAGGAGTGGAGGAGAATCCCAGAGGAGTGGGAAAGGGAAAAACTTCCACAAATACTAAAGAGTTTGATTTGCAGCCTTGGAAAAAGCTTGGATCGATGTAAAAATAGAAGTACACAGATATTAAGTAAAAAAAAAAATATATAAACTTATGTTTTAGACAGTTGTAAGTAAAAATATGCCTTAAGTAAGCAAAAACCTGTATTAAATAATTTTAAAATTTATATATAATATAATGATATAAAATAAGAGTTTAAGTGTTATAATAAAAGCATAATAAAAACATTTATATGTATATATAAATTATTACAGAGGAGAATCCCAGAGGAATGAGGGCAGAGAGGAGAATTCCCAGAGAATTCCCAGAGGATTCCCAGGACTCAGGGCACAGAATTCCCATCTCAGCTCATCCCTGCTCGTTCCTTACCCTTCCCCACGCTGGGAGATTTTTTCCAAGGGGGATTTGCCATTCAGGTCCTGCCTGTCCTCAGCATTCCTGCAGGGAAAACAGCAGGAGCTGAGGGAAGGAGGGGTTGGAGGTGAGCCATGAACATGAGCAGGGAGAGGGGGAAAAAACCAACAGGAAAATGATCTGAGCCCTGGAAAAGGCTGCAGGTTTGGATTTGGATTCCCAGCCCAGAGCTGGGCAATGTTCAAACCATGGGAGACCCTCCCTGATCTGGGATTGTCTCCTCCCAGATGTTTTTGCCCTTCCCCTGGAATTCCCTGGGTGGTGTTTGCTGCTCTGTGCTGCTCCTGGAGGATTTTGTGTCTCCAGGAATTGCCCATCCTGCCCTCAGGGCCTCCAGACCCACCTGCTCTCAGCAGAAATTGAGATTTTCCCCAGATTGTCACTCAGGGATGAGGATGAGGATGTTTGGCTCCTGCCGCCTGGTTTGGGGCTGCAAGGGAGGAAAAAACACAAAATTGTCACACGAAGCTGGGAGGTCTCCTCTGCAAAACTCCTGGAACCCCAAAACCCGGGAATTTTGAACTTCCTGACCCCAAAAGAACTCTGCTTCTGACCTGAGGCCTTGGGAAAAGCTTCCAAATTTGAGAGATAAGAGCTTGAATAGAATATTCGTTGCAATTTTTTGTAGTTTGAATAGATTAATTGAACAGAAGTGTGTAATATCACACGGTGAAGGGTTTGGAATTTGGGGTTTTGGAATATTAATAGGAATGGGACAAGATGGAGGTTCTTGGGGTTTGTCTCTTCTTCCTTCTTGTTCCTTCTTCTTAATTTTAGGTGGTAGTTTTTGGTTGGATAGAAAATCCTGCACTGTGGGTCACAGGTGTTTGGTCATTGGGTCAAAAGTATAAATAATGTAGTAATAGAATATACTAATATACCAACATTTTTATATAATAAATATATAAATATTAGTTTTTAATTTGATAGTTAGGATTTAAAAGAGCTTGCAACTAACTAGATCCACCTCCATTTTCTCACTTTTGCTTGTTAGCTAGAAATGCTGTGGAACTCACTGTGCTATGGATAAGAATTAATAAACTAGAATTAATAAGTCTGAACACAAAAATTTGCTTCTTGTGCTTCAATCCTGACTCTGAGTGAAGGGAGAGGAAAAAAAGGGAGAGGAAAAAAAAGAAGGAGAAATGAAGGAAGGGGAAATAAAATAAAGGAAGGGGAAATAAAATAATAAAGGAAGGGGGAAATAAAATAATAAAGGAAGGGGAAAACAAGAAAACAAGAATGTGGTGCCACTGCTACAAACCCTGCACATCTGGCTGTGTTTGGGCACTTTATCGGTTTTTTAACTGGTAAATGCAGTTTGGATGAAGCCTGGAATCACACCCACACCCACAGGGAATACCTGCTGCTGTCTGGAGCACACCTGGATGAAGGTGGCACAGTCGGACTCCTCCTCTGCTGTCCTTCCTCCTCTTCTATCTCAATCCTTTCCGCAGGGACAAAGACACAAATATCACGGCATTTATTTCCACTTTTTCTGCAGCTTTCCAGGCACTTCATCCCTGCTGTCCCCCAGCCACATTTCCCCATTTCCTGAGGTCATTCCTGCTCCTGCTGAGCATCCCCAGGGGCACAGTGCAGCCAGGGCAGTGGGATTTTTTCCACACAGCATCAAGCTGAGTTTTTGGATCCCAGAGGGAGCTCTGGGCACATTTCCCTGCCCCACTGGCAGCCCTGGGAGGGAGCTGCCTGTGGAGCATCCCCCTGGCTGGCTGGAGCAGCTTCCCAGGAAACAGGAATGCTGAGCCTGAGCCTCCCCAAAGCCCCACCAGGATTGTATTCCCAGTGTTTCCAACTCCCGAAAAACCAGCAGGATCCAGCCCCCAGCATCCTTCCTTTCTCAAGGAATTGTTCTTCCTGTGCTCCTGGGATCTGCTGTCCCAGCCTGCAGCAGGCACCCAGTCCCAGCACCCACCTCTTGGCAAACAGGGCTGGGAATTCCTGTGTTGGGCTGCTGTGGAGGAAGGGATACAGAACAGTTAAAGGATTGGAGGGAAAGAAATTCCCTGGGAGGGGCAGAACCCCCCAGGACCTGCCCCAGGTCCTGTCACCCCCCTGGTCCTCTCACCCCCCCACCCAGGACCCTGCCCCTCTTGATTCCCTCGGGGAATTAGGGACTCCCCTGACTTTTCTTTCCCAGCAATTCCATCCCTCTCAGTGAGGAATGCTTGGAGGATTTCCCAGTTCTGCAGGAACCTGCATTTACCAAGGAACCATGGAAAGGTTTGGGTTGAAAGGACCTTAAAGATCCAGTGCCACTCCCTGCCATGGGCAGGGACACCTTGCATTGTCCCAGGCTGCTCCAACCCCAATTTCCAGCCTGGCCTTGGGCACTGCCAGGGATCCAGGGACAGCCACAGCTGCTCTGGGCACCCTGTGCCAGCCCTGCCTACCCTCCCAGCCAGGAATTTATTCCCAATATCCCACCTAATCATGGGAAAGCCATTCCCTGTGTCCTGTCCCTCCATCCCTTGTCTCTCTCCAGCTCCTTCTCCTCTCCAGGTGAGCACCCCCAGCTCTTCCCACGTAGAGAAGGAGCTCCAGCCCTTGCAGCAGATTTGTGGCTGAGCTGTTGGAGGTTCCCTTCACCTTTTCCTGGCTGCTGCCCCATTCCCAGCCCCTGGACTCACCCGTTGCTCTTTTTGGCAGCAGACAGGACGTAGGCGCGCTCGCGGCCGGCCGAGCGCCGCAGGACGCTGTTGGCAGCCTCAGCCCTGCAGGGGAGAGAGGGGGGAGAGAAGGACTCACATCCTGCTCATCCTGGCTGCACGGAGCCCTGGACACGTGAGGAACAACCTGCTGGGGGCCAGGGGTAACCCTGGCAGAGCTGCTGCACTCTGGGGAGCAGATTTCATGGAATGGTTAAAAATCATCCGGACCAACCATCAGGCAAGTGCCCAAAAGTTTGGATTCTGTCACCAGCTGTTCCAGCAGCTGGAGCAGTGATCCTGATCCCTGGGGGGATCTCTGCTGCTCATGGGTGTTCAGGGGTGGTACTGGAGGGTCTCTCCCACCCCAAACCATTCCAGGATGATTCTCTGATCCCATTCCCTCCAGGAGAACAGCCCTGCCTGGAGCTGGCCTCGAGTTCCAGTCCTGGGCTCCTCCCTCCTGGCTCTTTGGGCATCCCCATCTCCCCATGGCCACAGCACAATCCACGGATTCCTCGTTAATTGGGAATTAATTGGGCCGTGCTGTCAGGCTGGATCACATCAGGATTTTAATGAGGTTTTGCCGGGAGCCGTGGGCAGAACTGGGATTGTTCAATCCTGGGATTTTTCGACCCTGGATCCTCCAGGAACACGGAGACACCTGCAGGCCTCACCTTTTCTTGTGCTCATCGGCAGAAAAAGGTGAATCCTCCTCGTCCCCGGATTTCTGCCGGACGTTGTAGGGAGCTCTGGGGTGGGAGGGAAGGCAGAGCCAGGTCAGGAATTCTGCTGGGGCTGGGGCAGCAGGAGCCAAGCACAAACCAACCCAGGGGATTGCTGCAAACCCTGCATTTTATATGTATTTATATGTGTTATTTATATGTGTTATTTATATGTATTATTTATATGTACATGTATTTTTATATGGGGTGCACATGCCCCTCAAGGTGATAAAATCCCCTCCAGTTCCAGGAGCTTCTCCTGGCCCTGGAACTTTCTGGAAGCTCCAGGGGGGCTTCAAATCCAAGGGATTGCTGCAAACCTTGTATTTTGTATGTATAAATATGTATTATTATATGTCTTATTTCTATGTATATAAATATAGGAAATATCTGGATATAGGAAATATCTGGATATAGGAAATATCTGAATATAGGAAATACATGAATATAGGAAATATCTGAATACAGGAAATATCTGAATACAGGAAATATCTGAATATAGGAAATATATAAAGTGCTGCTCTGCCTTTCTCCAGGCTTCAGGAATGCTCCAAACCCAATTCCCCGGTGATAAAATCCCCTCCAGGGACATTCCCAGAGCAGGGACAGGGGCAGCTGCCCCCTTGTCACACTCACAGTTTCTTGTAGTCCTCTGTGGTCATCCTGTAGCCGGAGGGGGAGCGGCTCTGGCCCTTCTGGGAGGCTCTGAGGGGACACAAACCACCCTGGGAATTGTCACCTCCCCATCCCTGCCCTGCTCCTTCCCAGGGGAGCTCCCCAGGGATGGGAAAAATCACCCCAGAGATCCCCACTCAATGGGAGGGCAGCACCTGCCTCCTTTTGGGATTTGGGATTGGGATTTGAGGTCTGCCCTGCTTTTGGGATTGGGATTTGAGGTCTGCCCTCCTTTTGGGATTTGGGATTGGGATTTGAGGTCTGCCCTGCTTTGGGGATTTAGGGTTGGGATTTGAGGTCTGCCCTGCTTTTGGGATTTGGGATTGGGATTTGAGGTCTGGTTTGCTTGGCCAGGGAGCTGATGTGGATTTTCCTGCTGTGGGATGGAGCTCCTGCATCCTGGGATCAGAGAGGGGGAAGGAAAAAAGGGAGGGGCCCGAAAAACGGGGGGCGTGGCCGAAACGAGGGGCGTGGCCAAAATGGGCGGGGCAAAAAGGTGGGCGGGGTCAGAACGGGACACGCCTACTTTTTCTGTGCGTGGCTGGCAGGTGAAGAAGACTCGGGTGAGCTCTTGTCGATGGTCCTGGTGAAGACCCCCCTGGCGAGGGAAGGAAGGGACACCTCACATTTCTGGCTGCCAAACGTTTGGCAAAAAGTTCAAACCACGGGTGGAACAACAAGGCTGGGTCGTGATCCTGAGCACTGGGGGGTCCCCAGCTCCCAGAATCCGGGAGAATTTTCCCTGATTTTGGCTCCTGGTCCAGCTCTCAGCTCGTTCCATACTCACCTGATGAGGTATCCAGGCTGGGGCTTGGAGGATGAGGACCTGTGCAAAGAACAGATATCAGGGAGAGGAGAAAAAAAAAAACAGGGAAAAAATGGGGAAGGGAATGTCCATGTGGATGTCAAAGCAAAAATCCAGCTGAGCAGGCCTGGAGGGATCCCACAGCTGGAGTGACCCTGGAGGCATGGAGTAAAATTAATAATCATCATAAGAATCCATTGAGGATTTTTTTAATAGGGGAAGTGAATTTTAGAGTGAGCCAATTAATGTTAGCCAGGCTGGCAGTGTTCTCTACATTCACTCCCCAGGAGGGGGAAATCAGCTGTGATGCAGATCCTGATTATTTTATCAGGATAAAAGAATTATATTGTATTTTATTTCCAGGATATTTTATTTCCAGGAGCTCCTCCGGGGGTGCATTCCCAGGGAGGAATCCCTGGCACAGAGTGACTGACCAGGAGTGGGGAGAGCTGGGAAAGGGGAGCAGGAAACAGGGCAGAGCTCTCCCACAGCCAAGAATTTGGCATTTCAGGGTATTCCTGCAAGTTCCTGAGTTCCTGGAGACTCCTGGTGCTCTGATCCCATCCCAGCCTCACCCAGGGCTCTCCTGCCCTGAGGAGCCCCTGCTGGGAGCACTGGGGGGTGACACCAGCACAGCACTGAGGTCCCATCCCTTGTGGGGACAGGGGATCAAAGGCTCCATCCCTCTGGATTCAAATTATCCCTCTGGATTTTAAAGTGATCCCTCTGGATTTCAAAAGTGATCCCTCTGGATTCAAATTATCCCTCTGGATTTCAAAAGTGATCCCTCTCAGTTCAAGTTATCCCCCTGAATTCCAGCCATCCCCTTGAATTGAAGTTTTCCCTCTGAATTCAAATAATCCTTCTGAATTCCAGGCATCCCTCTGAATTCAAGCTCTCCATTCCAATCTTCCTTCTCCATTCCAGCCACCCCTCCATCCCTCTGGACCTCTCCAGAACCAATCCACGCTCTCTCCATGGCTGTGCCCAGCCCTGTGCTGGCAGCAGGAGCTGAGGGGGCTCACAGGGATGGGGCTGGGATGGGTCCCTGGAATTACCTGTCCTGCTGGGGAGCAGCAGCTTTGGGGGCTGGGGGTCTCTGTGCAGACCTGAGGGAACAGCAAACACAGGGACACAAGGGGTTAAATGATTGCTGAACGTGGCCAGGATGGGTTTGGAGAGGGAAGAGAAGGAGGAAGAGAAGGAGGAAGAGAAGAGGATGAAGATTTGGGATTGGGTTTGTTCCCAAGGAAAGGGGAGATGGAGCAGAGGTGTTCCCTGGCTCCGTGTGACACCCAGGGCACTGTTTGATCCCCTTCCTCCTCCATCCAAACCTCGCCCCTCCAGCCTGTCCTGATTTGTCACCCCGAGGTGCTGAAGCACAATTTGGCTTCACCAAACCCTGGAGCTCTCCCGAATCCTCCAAATTGTCCGTGCTGCTCAATTTGTGCGAGCTCCTCCCCACGCTGCCTTTATCAGGAACAATCAGGAGCAGCAATTCCTCTGCTGGCACCGCGGGGACCCCAAAACCTGTCCCAGCACATCCTGTGCAGCTCGGGAGAAGGCAGAGCTCGGTTTGGGCAATGCCCTCGGGCACGGGGTGGGATGGTTGGGGTGTGGTGCAGGGCTGGGGCTTGGATCCATGATCTGGGAATTGTGATGAGGGAAGGGGAAGTGAGAGGAATGATGGATTTGTCTTTACAAACAAGCTGGTGGATAAAACCAGCACTGAGAGATGAAAGAAACAATGGGATGGATTCCACTGATTGATAAATAAATTTTTTAAAAAAGGATATTTGCCTTACAGGTTTGCTGAGAAATGAAATTGGATATTGAAAGATGAAAGAAGCAATGGGGAAAAACCATGAATTCTGTAAGAATTAAAAATGCCAAGGGAGGGTTGTACATTCGAGGGGAATCTCAGGGATCAGGGGTTGGGAAGTCTGGGCCTCTCCAGTCCCTCAGCAATGGGGAAAGAGAGAGGGAAATTGGGATAAAAAGGGAGGGGAGTCCTCCAAAAATCTGAGAGCTCCCAGGGGAAAGCCCCACGGCCTCTCCTTTATTCTATTAAAGGACTCCTCTGTCTCGTTTTTGGACATAAACCTCTGGTGTTTGTGGGTTCATTTTCCTGCCAAGAGGGAAATGTTCTCACAGGGAGCTGCTCTTCTCCTCATCCTCATCCTTGTCGTGGTGCTGGATCCAGCTCTGGTCCCCTCGCAGCGTGGTGCGAACTTTCATCTGCCGGATGATCCTGCGGCGATCCTCGTCCGTGGGCGGGATCAGCCCGCCTGGAAAACCGGGAAAGGAGGGCTCAGATCCCAGCCTGGAGCCCCCTCCTCACTCCCATCCCCTGCGGGGGATTTCGCCCAGCTCAGGGGGAGATGTGGCTGTGCAGAGATGAGGATCAGCACCGTGCCGGATCAGAGATCCGTGCAGGATCCCCACAGCTCAGTGGAAACATCTCCCTGGTGTTGGAATCCAAAAATCTGGGAGCACAGAAACCTGGGAATCCCAGAAACCTCAAACACAGAAACCTGGGAATCCCAGAAACCTGGGAACACACAAACCTCAAACCCAGAAACCTGGGAATCCCAGAAACCTGGAACCTCAGAAACTTGGGAATCACAGAAACCTGGAGAACCCCAGAAATCTCAAACCCAGAAACCTGGGAACACACAAACCTCCAACCCAGAAATCTGGGAATCCCAGAAACCTGGGACCTCAGAAACTTGGGAATTGCAGAAACCTGGGAACACACAAACTTCAAACCCAGAAATCTGGAGAACACAGAAACCTGGAACCACAGAAACCTGGGGAGCACAGAAACCTCAACCCAGAAATCTGAGAACACAGAAACCTGGGAACACACAAACCTCAAACCCAGAAACCTCAAATCCAGAAACCTGGAACCACAGAAACCTCAAATCCAGAAACCTCAAACCCAGAAACCTGGGGAACACAGAAACCTGGGATTTTTGAGCTTTCTGTGTTTTCTGACACTGACCCCAAAAGAACTCTGCTTTTGACCTGAGGACTGGGGGAAAGCTCCCGAATGTGGGTGATGGAGTTAAAATCACGGGTGTGTCATTGAATAGAAATGTGTGACTTCACATGGTCAAGGGTTAGGATTTTGATTTTTTTTTTTCGAATATAGTAATAGGTATGGGACAAGAAGGAAGATTTGGGGTGTTATTTCCTTTCTGTCTTCTTCTTCTTCTTCATGATTTCAGGTAGTTTTTGGTTGGACAGTTAATTCTGCACTGAGGGTCACAGCAGTTTGGTTATTGGGTCAAAAGTATCAATAATATAGATTTTAATTCTCTATTGAAATATTTAGCTTTAAAAGACCGTGTAACTAACTAAATTCATCTCCATTTTGCTCACTTTTAGCTGGTAGCTGGAAGTGTTGCTGAACTCTCTGCACTTTAGATAAAATTTAACAAACAACCAAGTCCAAAATTCATCTCCTTCGTGTTTTTAATCCTGACTCTGAGTGAAGACAGAAGAAAATGAAGACAAGGCATTAATTAAATGGTGAAATTACACATTTACACCTGGTGGCCTGTGCCAGCAGAGACATTCCAGCAGCCCCAGCTGGACAGAGGGAAACCCAGGAGAGGTTTTTTGGTTTTTTTTTGAAAGGAATTACCTTTAGCAACACCCAGGGACATCATGGTGTCAGCAGCACCTTCCCCTCCTGCCACTGCTCACAGCCAACAACCCCTGGAAGAAACGGAGAAAAGAAAAAAGGAAAATGTCAGGTGTGGTATAAAAACCTGGCCAGGGTGCCCAGAGGATGGGGACACTCTGACCTGGGATTTCTCCCCATCCATGAACCTGCAGCATCAAGGACAAGGAAAATCAAATCCAGCCATGCCAGAGGGGTTTTTTCCAGGAGGAAACCTTGGAAAAAAGTGCCCAGAGCCACTCAGGTGAGCCAGCCCTGGAGCCCACAGAGCTCTGAGGTTCCTGGAGCATCCTTGTGAGAGGAATGATGGATTTGTCTTTATAAACTGTGGGGCTGCTGGTGGATAAAACCAGCACTGAGAGATCAAAGAAATAATGGGATGGATTCCACTGATTGATAAATAGGGGAAAAAAAAGATATTTGTCTTTGCAAACAAACTGTAGGTTTGCTGAGAAATGAAATTGGATATTGAAAGGTGAAAGAAGCAATGGGGAAAAACCATGAATTC